TCCACTGAGATGGGAAAAGCGAAAAGTAGAATGGCTTGGTGGAGGGTAGGGACATGAGAAGCTCAGCTGTACTCATAAGTTAGAGATGCATACTAGACATCTAGGTGGAGATGGAGAAAAGCCATTGGATATACAAGTTTGGAAATCAGTAGAGAGGTGTGGGCTGGAGATTAAAATTTCTGAACCATCAGCATATAGATGGTCTTCAAAGTCATGTGACTAGAAAAGATCAACAAGGGCATGAACACAGAAAGGCCAAGAACAGAGCCCTGGAACATACCTGGGGTACTTCCCCTAGCTAGGTCAGGTTCCTCTCTCTGGGTTCTCACACCCCCAGGTGGATCCCCTATCCCAGGTTTCCTGGTCACAGCACCAATGACACAGTATGGTTACTGTCATTATCATTTTCCTCACAGGGCTTGGAGTTTCCAAGCAGTCATTCTTGGGCCACAGCACATCCTATACATAGGGAGTATGGCCTCAAATTGTGTCAAAGGAGAGCTTCCCAATCTTTTATAATGTATATCTCAGCACTCAGATACAAATGGCACACACTGGAGCAAACAGTATGCTACTTCTGACCCTGAGACACCTTGAAGGGTTGGGGGGATCAATGTCTTGGCTCATCTGTACTGACAGATTTGAAAGATCTAGTCTAACCAATTCTTTCCCTCCCCTCCCCCTACCACCTTCAGAGAAGCTGCTGCTGGCTTGGACTGAGGTGGGGCTGCCCCTCCAGGATGTGTCTGTGGCTGCCTGCAATTTCTGTCACCGTCCTGTACACTTCGAGCTCATGAGCGAGTGGGAACGTTCCTACTTTGGGAACATGGGGCCCCAATATGTCACCAACTATGCCTGAGAAGCCAGCTGCCTAGGATCCAGACCCCACCTGCACTTCACCTGGGTCCGGGCCTCTTCCTGTCCTCTGCTTTGTTGTGTGCCTCTAGCTGAATTGAGCCTAAAAATAAAGCATAAACCGCAGCATGTGTCGCCTTTTATTGGGCAGGAAACAGACAACTGCACTATAACTGACACCCTCGGACAAGTGGCGGATCTGTGAGGAAACCGTAGGTCACTTGTTGGTCTGACCATTCTACTTTACCAGCAGGGAAACAGAATGAGAAAGAGGGAAGAAATGCCCAAAAACTCCACAGTGAGTTGCACAGAGCCAGGATACCCAGCAGATTTACTTGAAATGGCTCTTCCCAATGGTTTCAATAAAAATCCAGATTGACTCTTCACTAGTAATCTGGGCCCTGGAATTCTGGGCCCAAGGTAACCCCTGAAGCCAGATGAGGCAGCCCTAACCAAATTCCCTAGAAAGGAGGGGTTCCCCAAAACCAAGGAGGTATTTTCCAGAAGGGGATATGGAAGTCTTCCTCAATCCATTATCCTTTCTCCCTCCCACAGCATCTCACAGAACAGGATTCACCAGTCCCATTTTCTTTTCCTTTCTTTTTTTTCTTTTTTGAGACGCAGTTTCACTCTTGTTGCCCAGGCTAGAGTGCAATGGCACAATCTCGGCTCACTGCAACCTCTGCCTCCCAAGTACAAGGGATTCTCCTGCCTCAGCCTCCCAAATAGCTTGGACTAGAGGCATGCACCACCATGACCAGCTAAATTTTTTGTACTTAGTAGAGACAGGGTTTCACCATGTTAGTCAGGCTGGTTGCAAACTCCTGACCTCAAGTGATCCGCCCACCTCGGCCTCCCAAAGTGCTGGGATTATAGGCATGCACCACCTCGCCCAGCCTACCAGTCCCATTTTCAAAGGTGAGAAGAGGCTTGGCTAGAGCAAGTACTGTGTTCAAAGCAATGCTCTCACTTTCAAGGTCACGGCATATAGGAAATATTTCCAAGGCACACTTAGGTGCACGAATGATACTACTTGCTGAGGAGGCCATCTTCCCTGAGACTTGTGTGATCCCAGACCCTGCCTGGCAACTGAGGGATAAGGACCCTATTTCTTTCAACCCTGTAACCCACTGTGGCAGCTGTGGGGCACACTAATTGGAAAGCTCTGATTTAAAGCTACACGGCCCCCCTCCCTTGCTGATTTAACCTCAGCAGTACAGGAAACTCCTACAATTGAACAGAGAATCCTTTCTGGTGAGCACT